CAAAATTACGTAAACAAAAATTACATGATGCTATATCATTATTTCGTTTATTGGCTGATGCTGATAATGTTGAAGCATGGATTGAAGAAAAAGAACGATTTTTAGCAACATTAGATCCAACACTAGTTAATGATATTGAAGAATTAGAAGTAATTAAACATCGTTTTGATGGTTTTGAACGTGATATGAATTCAACAGCATCTAAAGTTGCTATTGTTGGTCATCAAGCACGTACATTAGTACAAAATGATCATCCAAATTCACAAGAAATTTTAGATCGTATTAATAAATTAAATCATAATTGGGCACAATTAAGACGTTTAGTTGATAAAAAACGTGAAGATTTAAGTTCAACATTTGGTGTACAAACATTTCATATTGAATGTAATGAAACAATATCATGGATACAAGATAAGATTCGTATTGTACAATCAACTGAAGATCTAGGTAAGATTAATACTTGATTGAATGGGAAAATGACGTGTGTGGGTATGGGTGTGGACATCTATCTTCTCTTAACCCACACCCACCCTCAGATACAGCAAAAAACATTCTATTCTGAATCTTGAATCGGTCTGCCAGACGTATCTTACTTTTTCTGGTCATGCTGTCAGATGTTCGTAAAGAGTGGTACGAAACGACATACACCCGATTGAATCCATAGATATTGCATTTATTAAGAACATATTGATTTTTTTTGATAATTAATTCTAGGTCGTGATCTTGGCGGTGTAATGACAATGCAACGTCGTTTAAGTGGTTTAGAACGTGATATGGCTGCAATACAATCTAAACTTGATCAACTTGAATCCGAAGCATCAAAACTTGAAAAAGATCATCCAGAAGACGCACAAGATATTCGTAATAAAGTTGGCCAAATAAATTCAGTTTGGTATGAATTAAAAGAAATTTTACGTCGTCGAGAAGAATCAATGGGTGAAGCAGCTGAATTACAAAAATTTCTTCGTGATCTTGATCATTTTTCAGCATGGTTAACACGTACACAAACATCAGTTGCCAGTGAAGATATACCAAATTCATTGAATGAAGCTGAACAATTATTAAATCAACATCAAACAATAAAAGAAGAAATTGATCGTTATGGTCCTGATTATGCTCAAATGAAAGATTATGGTCATCGTGTTATACGTGATGCTGATACAACCGATCCTCAATATATATTTTTACGTGAACGTTTAAATGCATTGGATGATGGTTGGAATGAACTTGATCAAATGTGGCATCAGAAAAAGAATATGTTAACCGAAGCAATGCAATATCAAATGTTTGCAAGAGATTCAAATCAAGCAGAAATCTTATTAAATCATCAAGAAGCTTATTTAGCTCGAGAACGTGAACAAAAACCTAAATCATTTGATGATGTTGAAGTATTAATTAAAAAACATGAAGATTTTATTACAACCATGACTGCAAATGAAGATAAAATACAAGGTGTCTGTTCATTTGCTCAACGTTTATGTCAAGAAAATCATTATTTAGGTGATCGTATTTTATCACGTGCTTCAATTATTAATGATCGTTATTCATCGAATCGTCAATCAGCTCTTGAAATGCATGAAAAACTTCAAGATTCACTTAAATATTTTCAATTTGTTCAAGATTGTGATGATTTGAAAGAATGGCTTGATATGAAATCATTACAAGCACAAGATGATACATATCGTGATACAGCAAATATTCATACAAAATATCTTCGTCATCAAGCATTTCAAGCTGAAATACTTTCAAATAAAGAACGTTTACTTGCATTAAAAGAACATGCTGAACAATTAAAATCTGAACATCCACAAATAATTAATTCATCGATTATTGATCAACGTATTCATGAATTAGATGATTCATGGGTTAAATTAGAAGATATAACACGTGATAAAGGTGAACGTTTATTTGATGCTAATCGTTCGAAATTATTTCAACAATCAATTACGAATCTTGATGAATTTATGTTTAATATTGAAAAACATTTATATGCTGGTGAATCAACTACAGCCGCACCATCATCATCTGATCAAATTGATGGTCAAGTTCTTTCAACGGGATTAGTAGCAGCAGCACCATCAACAACAACAACAACACTTGAACCAGTAGAAAATAATTTAACAGCAACAAATCTTTTATTACTTAAACAAACAACAATTGAAGAAGAATTATTAAAACGTCAACAACAAGTTGATGAATTACGTGTTCAAGCTGAAAAATTAAAACAATTAGAACCAGAAAAATCCGAAGAAATTGATACAAAACGTTTACAAGTTGAAGAAAAATTTTCTAAACTTCTTCAACCATTAGAACAAAAAAAATTACGTTTAGAACAACAAAAACATCTTCATCAATATTTACGTGATATTGAAGATGAACAAATATGGTTAAGTGAAAAACGTCATTTATTACAATCTTATTCCGATTTAATCTTTAATAATAAACAACAAACATTAATGAATGTACAATTATTAAAACGTAAAAATGAATCATTATTAAAAGAAATTGAAAATCATGAACAACGTCTTCTTGAACATTTAAATAATGAATGTACACGTATAAGTCAAGATTATCCAGCACGTGCCGATGAATTTCAAGAACGTTTAGAAAATTTATCGGATAATTATATTCAATTAAAAGAAACAATTAAACAACGACGTGAACATTTAGAATTATTAGAAACTCTTTATCAATATTATTATGATTTAAGTGAAGCTGAAGCATGGCTTGGTGAACAAGAATTATATATGATGAGTGAAGAACGTGGTAAAGATGAATTAGCAACACAAACATTTATACGTAAACAACAAACAATGGATCAAACAATTGAAAATTATACGGATATATTACGTGAATTAGATAATAAAGCAAAACATTTAATACAAGATTTGAATCATTCAAGTTTAACAAAAGATTTTGTTCATGATCATCAAGATTTAATTAATAAACGACAAACACAATTAGATAAATTATATGCTAGTTTGAAAGATTTATCTGTTGAAAGACGACAACGTTTAGAAGAAACATTAAAATTATATCGTCTTAATCGAGAAATCGATGATCTTGAACAATGGATATCGGATAGAGAATTAATTGCTGGTTCACATGAACTTGGACAAGATTTTGAACATGTTAACATGTTACTTGATCGTTTTGCTCAATTTGCACAAGAAACAGAACAAATTGGTAATGAACGTTTACAACATGCTAATGATATGATTGATTTATTAATATCAAATGGTCATATTGATTCAGCTGAAATTGCCGAATTAAAAGATACATTAAATGAATCCTATCAAGATCTATTAGAAAT